TCTCCGGTTCTCCAAACTCTATTTTGTTATCCTTATCACCGTGCATTATCTTTCTCTTTTTTGTTAACCCTAGATTTCCGACAATCTACTTTTGTCTGCTGGTTTATTCCAGCTTTCATCCCCATCCTTTCTCCCTCCCATCCCCGCCCTCAATTCTCTCTTACAGTCTCTCTTTATCTCTTCCTTCTCAGTCAAGAGCTACTCTTCCAGCCTACTTCTCTTTTGCTATTTTTCTTCTTCCTTCCTTTTTCCTGTCTTCCTCCCTCCCTCCTCCCTTCCTTCCTTTGACCAGTGTATCTTGGTTGATATAATTTTAACTGCCTTTGTCTTGACAGTACACATTTCCAAATGCCCGCATCGATGCAGAAATAGCTTTTCTGATGAATAAAGCGAGTGCGTCCTCTGGAAGACGTATAGCAAGGGTTTGGAACTGCAGTGGCTTTAACGCTGAGACACAAATGAAAGTCTACAATATTGCGGTCCTCCAAACCCCTTTGTATGGTAGCGAGACCTGGACGGTGTACCAAAGCAATGCCAAGAAGCTTAAACATATCCAAAAAACTAAATGCCTCTGGAGAATTCTTGGCATCAACTTGGGCAGGATACAATTCAAGGCACCAACGTTCTCAAAATGGCACATGCCTAGAGGTCTGTGTTATTTTTATCACCCAAATAACTTATATCTATTTTTGAGTCAGCGTTCTAAGCTCAAAAGGACTTCACTGGACTTTGAGTATAGCGTCTTAAACGAACATTTTATATTGTCAGTAAAAACCTAAATACAAAGGTCTCAGCAAAAAAGGATTAACTCAAAACACAACCTCCCCCTCCCCCGTACTTCCCCTCTCAATCTGCCCACAAGCTCTCAATAGCAAGGTAGCATACCCGTGAAGAGGCGCTCTCTCATTGTACTGCTGGCTGACGTCATCTCCGCTCCTCTCTTCCCCCTCCTCCTCCTCTTCCTCAAGGATCACATGACCGGACCCAGGAATAGTAGGGCTTCCCTGATTGGACAGTAGGTGTTGCTGATATCTGTCCGGCTCACGGATAAATGTGACCACAGCTGAGGGAAACAGGTATTGAAAATAACAAAGAACAGAAACTATGACTGTTTTTGATAGTTGTTGTTGTTTTTTGGGGGGGTTTTTAGAAGCCGCTATCTGACAAAGTTCTTTCTGGCATTTTGGCCGTTTTCAGTTACAAAGACCATGAGCTCAAGAACCAAATGTTTTATCTGATCTATCAAAATCGTAAGGTTTTTCGGAGTTGTTATCAAGATATTCAAAGAAATGCCTTAGAAAAAGCTTCACATGTTGTGAATCTCGATTTTTTTTCATCAAATTTTTCAAAACCAAGTAGTTAGCAGATAGAACTTTGTAATTGTGAGGTAGCAAAATGTGTCAAGAGAAAAACAAACAGAAAACAGAAAAAGAGATAAGAACGATATATGTCTGATAGGAAAGAAAGAGCAAACCAAGCCAGAGCGCCCATCAACCACCCATTACTGTTGCTTACCAGACCATCCGTCATCTAATTTACAGAGGCACTAGCTAACCATGTCTAAATACGCTGTTTTAGCCAATTACTCTTTCTAATTGAACCATTCGTGACACAAATGCACCAAGTTCATGTAGTTGGGTCTATCTCCTGTATAAATATTTTAGAAATAGAACGCTATAGCTTATAATTGTGATAAAATAGACCTTTACGCTTTTATTTTAGACGTACAGGTATAAATTGTTCTAAATTTAAAGAATGCAACCATTGAGATTTTTTTAAAAAGACTCTAAACCCCTTGTACTTGCGTATAAGATGGATTGTTAGACCTGACACGTTAAACAACCCCCCCTCCCTAAAAAAAAACAACAAAAAACAAAAAACAACCTCACATAACGTATTTGACACTAAGACTTACAGGAATTTATAAAACCTATTGCCTTAAAAAAAAGTACGCTGGTGACGTATAATCACTACTTCAGAATTACAAAGTTCTATTTGACATTTTTGGCCGTTTTGAATTACTAAGATCATGAGGTCAGATACTAAATGTTCGATCTGCTTTATCAAAATAGTAAAATTATTCGGAGCTGTTATCAGGATATTCCAAAAACTGCATAATTAAGAAAAAAGATTGACATGTTGTGAAATTCTAGATGTTTGACATCAAATTTCTCAAAGCGAGGCACAGTGCCGATAGAACTTTGTAATTTCAGGGTAACGTAATATCAAGGTGCACCCCCTCCCCCCATGCTTTCCTACTTTTCACTGCGTACAAATTATACTTATAATAATAATAATAGAAAATTTACAACATTCGCAGCAGAAAAAGGTGATGCAGGTGCCCAATCCCCCTCTCCACCCCTATCCACCACCCCTTACAAAAAAACAAAAAAAAATAAATTTTAAAAAACAACCCACCAACCCTACATTCCCCAACCCTACCTCCCCCAACCCCCCTACACAACAACAAAAACAACAACAACAACAACAACAACAACAACAACAACAACAACAACAAACGAACCAAAAAAAAAAAAAAACCCTAAAAAAACAAACATAAAACCCACCCCAACAACCACCCACCTCGCCAATCGGGCTCCTTCCCATCCCTCAGATGTCCCTCTGTGACGTAAGGGCGTCGTTTCAGCATGATCTCATACAGCACTATACCATAGGAATACATGTCATGGCGGGCGGTTGGCGGCTGTCCCGGCTCTCGCAGCCTCTCCGGCGCCGTCCACACGTGCTCTGTGGGGATTGGACAAGCCTGCATGGGTTTTGTTTTTGTAAGTTTTTACGGCACTTGCAACACAATAAAGTCATATTAGTGACGAAGATTCGAGGTGTTACCAGAGCGCAACAAACACAAAAAAGAAGGAGAGATAAGGACGATAGGTGTTTGATAGGAAAGAAGGAGCAAACCACACCAGAGCACCCTCCAACCTGAGCTTTTGTTTGAAAATTAAGTGGTTTGGGTTTAAGTAGTTTAACGTGCCTATCAGTACTATTAGGTAAATTTAAGAGGCGGGACCTCTGGGTTTAACGTCCATCTCCGAAAGGATACAACGTCGGACTGAGTTGAGGCTCAAACTCCTGAACTCGCAATCTCCGGATTACAAGTTCGGTAGCCTAAACACTGGACTACCGACGCCACTCTGTCTTTTTGTTTGTTTGTTTGTTTCTTTCTTTTGTGTGTGTATAGGGGGTGGGGGTGTTTTAGTAAGAGTTTTATGGCAGTGGCAAACTATTGATCACCCCCCTCCCCTGAATTTTTTTTTTACAGTCTCAAAGGACTCTCGAGCTTTGGAAGTCATCAAAGCTTTCCAAAACTTTCCTTGTTAAAATATCATTAGACACCAGGTGACTCCAACCTTCTTCAAACAGAAATATTCAATCCCTGTTCAAGTTCAAGATAAAAGAGTATTATTTTTTTCATCAAAATAAAGAGAAGTTAACACGCTTTTAGATGATACCAATTAGTTGATAATATATCCAAAAATTGGTGAGCGCCCGATTCCACGGCGATTCGACATAATTATACATTATTAATTTATTGGTTGAAGCCCGCTTGAGTTGGTAAACCCGTGGGATTGGGTACTTGATGAGAAGGGAGTGGGGTGGGTAGAAAGGGCTGCCTTCACGAACTTCCTAGATATCAAAGCGTACCTTACTGAATCAGCCGGTACTGAGAATAAATTAATAGTTTTGGGGATCTGTCAAGACTACCACTTCACACTATATCAGCGAGAGCATACAACCAGAGATGAAACGGAAACAGGAGGAGGGATAGGCAGGCTCAGGATAAGATTGGCAGAGAGGGTCAGAGAAACATCGGTCAAAACAACGTAACCATGCAACAGGTGATACAACAAACAAGAAAAATATGTTTGTTTACCCCCCCCCCCAACCCCCTCCTTCCCCCCAAAAAGCAAAAAACAAAAAACAACCCGCCAAAAAAACCCCAACAACAACAATACCAGAAAACTCAACAACCCACCCCCCCCCCAACACACACCCGAAAAACAAACAAGCAAACACACAAACAAAAACACCAGGTAACTCAGGTCGGAAAAGTATAACTAAGTCAAGTGAATAAAATATTCTAATAACGTGTTTTTGAAAAGCTATTCATGCGTTATGGTGGTAAAGTGACATATGCCAGAACAGTTTTTAAAAAAGTTATACGTGAGGCATTGAGGTGAAATCGTTCGTCAAAATAATAAAAGAGAAGAAACAGGCATTTTTTCGCCAGTTTGGCAATTTTTTATCGAATTTTTATGATTTTGGCTCAACATCTTGGGTGCCCAAATAAAACCACATTTCAATGTGAATTTTACTGAAAAGCTTTAATAAAAGGCATACACATTTTCAAGGACTCTCAAACTATTGAAATGATCAAACTTTGGCGGCCATTTTCTCGCATATTTTACCACCTGAAACCAAGCCACCCAATCTCCTTCAATCGCAAATATCTCGACTTCTATTTAAGACAGATGGGTAGGCCTATTGTTTTCAGTGACAGTGAAAGCAAGGCAAATGAATAAGCCTTCAGATGAAACCAATAACTCCACATGTCCAAAAAATTGACGAGTGCGTGATTCCACTGCGTCGTGACACATAGATTATACTAAGAGGAAAAGTTCACATTGCGATCATCACCTGAAGAGCACAGGAGAAAAACGGGCATAATCACAAACTAGAAATTGTGATGGGGTTGATTTGAAAAGCAAGCTTGTGGACTCATAACTTCATATAATTTGTTTGACTGGTGGTTTATTGCTATTATTATTGAATGGGAAATCCAACAACAATATTCAACTAATAATTGAACAGACATACAGCTATAAGTCAACAGGCATTCATAATTGATATTCTCACGATTTTCAGTTTGTGAATTAGCCTGCTTTTTTCCCCTATGCTAATCACATGTGATCGAGGCTCACACCGCATAGAAACGAAGACTTTCAGAATCAAGAAAAAACAAACAACAGTAAACGTAACAGTAAACGTAACAGTAAAACAGCAGCAGCAGCAACAATAAAACAACAACAAATCTTAATAAAACAATAACAGCAACAAGAACAACCATAATAACAACACAACAACGACAACAACGACGACGACGACGACGGCGACTACGACAATGACAACAATAACAGCAACATCTCCATCAACAACAATAACAACAATTATAACATCATCAACAACAACAACAACAACAACAACAACAACAACAACTACAACAACAGCAGCAACAACAACAACAACAACAACAACAACAACAACAACGACAACAACAACGACAACAACAAAGGCAACAACGACAACAGCAACTACAACGACGACGACTTAGATACTCGTAGTATTTCCAGAAAACAACCCCCCACCCCTCACAGGATAGTAACTGCACTGCCCCCATCCCCCCAACCATGAACACCCCCCCCCCCCCCACACACACAAACCCAACTCACGTGAACAAAAGTTGGGGTCAGTCTCCGGCAGGTCCATCTCCCCCTCCCGGAACCTGGGAGTATCCAAGTCGGTCAACTTGCACGTGAGCCCGCTGTCCACGACAATGTTGGAGGACTTGAGGCGGCCATGAACCTGCAGCTCGGAGTTCTGCAAATAGGCCAGGCCCTGCGAAACAAGAGTTTTACTTTTAGTAAGTGTTTTACGGCACTTGCAACACAATGAGGTCATGTTAGTGCCGAGGATTAGAGGTGTTACAGGAGAGTAACAAACACCAATTTAAAAAAAAATAAAACAAAAGCAGGAGAGTTAAAGACGATAGGTGTTTGATAGGAAAGAAGAAGCAAACCACACCAGAGGACCTGCCAACCACCTACTGCGAAACAGAAAGTTATTATATTATTCTCTTCACTAAAACAAATAAACCAAGGGATTCAGAGCTTAACTTATGAGGAGTCCTCGGAAAAAAATGGGCGTAGTCACAACCTGGAAATTGTGAGAAATTGTGAGGGTGTCAATTTTAAAAACTTGTTGACTCATAACTTCATATTTGTTTTATTGGTGGCTTATTGTCATCTTTGTTGAATGTGACATCTTACAACAATAATCAACCAACAGGTGAACAGAGATACAGCTATGAGTCAGCAATCGTTCAAAATTAATACTCTCACGAGTTTCAGTTTGTGACTATGTCCGGTTTTTTTTCCTGTGGACTCCCCATATTATCTTTTACTTTTTTTAAATTTAAGAGGGTTTCTAAATTCTAGATTTTTAAAAATATGGCCAGGCTACTTCAACAAGATGAAGTAACAATCGTGATGAGAGATTTGTGTGGTATCATGGAGAAACTAGGACCTCG